ATACAAGGATAGACATGAAACGGTTCTTTTAATTCTTTCAAGTAACTACATAAATTATTCTGGTCACATTTTAGATTAGGGTACAATTCTCACTATTAACTAATTATTAACTATGACTTTTGCCTCAATATACTCCTAATTACTGCTTATTAATACTTAGTAAAGTAGTTGTTAAGTTTAAGTATTGGGTAGGATTAAGGATTTAGAATAAGATCTTGCAGAATAAGACATTAATATGTCCTATTTAAGTAATAATAAACAGCCAATATCCCAGTAATATTCATGCTAATAACCAACTAGTTAACAGTGAGAATTGGACACTAAAGTGTTACCAATATTCTTATTAACTCACCAAAGTATTTAAAGTGAGAAGGGGACATAAAAAGCATGCATTTTCGGGTTAGACTTTAAATTTTGATGTTAAATCATCAATTTTCATCCGTTATTGTATTGAATTGATTAAATATGAGCGCTGCAAGTTTCAAAGTCAGGTGCTGCGCTGCTTTGTTTACTGCTGTTACGGGGGAAGCGGATATATTCCTGGCCAAACGCGCCACCTGCTGGCAGAGAATGAATTTGCATTTTTCAATAAGTGAACTGGTGGATCCACAAAAAGATAATGAATTATAAAACTCTAAAGATATAGCCTACACTAAGATATATTTATGTTACTAAATGAATATAATTGTTTGATAATAATTGTTTAAATTAATATAAAAATAATATAATATAAAAATAGTTACTTTTGAAACAATAATAAATAGTCGAATCATTTGAACAGTAAAAATATACATAATATAAATAAATAAATATGAATTATAAACTATAACTAATGTATTAAATAAATAAAATAAATGAATGTAATTAAAAATATTAAATAATAATAACAATAATATTCGTTTTACTAGTTTTTGTGAGATGTAAATAGTCTTTATATAATTTTTTAAAATATGCATAATATGAATATTAAATTATAAATTATAAATAATGTATTAGATCAATAAAATAAATAAATAGTTTAATAGAGTTACTTTCAAATTTCTGTGCTGTTAAACCGGTTTTGTTATTGTTTAAGCAGCTAACAATATATGTGTCAACAGCTGAGTGTGTGCTTTTATATTTACTGACTGATAATAATAGTGTCTGCATTTACATACCTGTGTACAGTAAGTTTTGTGAAGTGTGTGCGCATGTTGAGTTTGCATCTGCTCGAGTGTGTGTTTGAATATGCACAATTTTTATTTCTAGCCGTCTCCATGGAGACTAAGTTCAGATAAAATGACAGAGCTGTGTAAGTTCAGCTGTAAATTGAGTGGACAGGAACAGAAATAGCTATGGTGATATCACATATGAGATATCACTGCTGATGTACGGCAGAAATGTCATTTAACATACTGAAACATGCTGAAATGTGACACGCACACACACACACACACACACACACACACACACACACGCCTGCTACACTTATCAGTGCTCTTTAAAGGTGACATATCATGAAAATCTGACTTTTCCAGGTTTTAAGTGCTATAATCAGGTCCCCGGTGCATCTACCAACCAAGGAAACGTGAAAAAGATTAACCCAGTAACTTTGTTTTGGGAAGCCTT